AACCTGATTATCTATCATGTTAGCCTGTTTATATCACAAGGTAGATTGCCTTCAGTTTTCAGATGTATGTACACTTTTAGCAACAAAAATCTGTATTTATACTGTATATAAGGATCAATTGGAAATAAGGAAAGTTGACTGACACTCAGTACAAGCTGCTCTCTTTCAGTGACCAACAAACTTATTTTCAGTGTGTGTCAGAACAGTCCACCCACAAAGCCACCTACACACACATGGACACACATTTATTTGACATCAACCTTATGCTAGCGGCTCTGTGTGTCAGTGACGCTGACAGTAAGCGAGGACTACAGACTAAAGGCTACTTAGACTGTATCGAAAGGACAAAAAGAAAAGAAAAAAATTACAGTTTCTGCAGCCAGTGAAATATTGCTCTGTTTGGTGTGATCACAGGGATTTGGACATGTTCAATACTAACACTTAAGTCGACCAGTGTTAGGTTATAGATACTTTGTATAAAGAATAAACTGAAAAAGAGTTCAAATGTAGACAGTACCCTTCATATTTATCAGTGCCCCTGGCGTAGATATACAATAATATAACAAAGAAAAGGTTGGAAAAATTCCTGCCCACATTTTTACTGCTTGTTTGTCCACCAATCAAGTGATTCACTGATGCTTTCCTTAACATCCACTTAAAGTAGTTATTGTAGAAAATTATCTGCAAAAATTATATTCTGTCTCAAAATTAGTAGCATAGGCACGTAAAATGTATTATTCACCACTGGCCCTTTACCCAGAACCAGCCGCTTTGAACTGATGAGACAAAGGCTATATCTCCACTGCAGGTTTTTGAGAGGCAGTATCACAGACTGCAAACCCACATGGCACTGCAGTCACCCATTTGCAGATGAAGATTTTACACACAGCCCCGTGTTTACAGAAATAAAGTAGTAGTATTTGCCTTCAAAGTTTCATTTGGAAAAATCATCACCAGCAGAAATGGTGTTTCAATACAGATTTGATTGAATTAAAATAATTTAATTAATTGGTTGGCCTTTACTGAAAGGTAGTTAACAATAAAACCAAGATTAAATATGTGGACCTTAAACCTCAGCTTGATGCTATTTTAACCCAGATTCAAAGAATGAAGATGATTCTTTGGGCTTTATCTTTCGAATAAATTTATGAATCTTGTAATTTAGATCCATGGTGTGTTTTTAGAGTAAAATCTTTACCTCAGCATCTTAGTCCACTTACACCATATGCACTAGATAGGCAACAGAAAGTGGTCTCTATATATGATGGACATAGAGACACAGCTGAAACCAGCAGATCCTAAAAAACTTGCAGCCTTGCAATTAATAGTTATCAGCATATATTAGATCTGACAGGCTTGTTTCTTTTATAGCTTTTCATCTTATCATTGTTCTCCTCTATTCAACGACACATTTATAAATCACACATGCAATCATGTAAAAGTCAGATTAGATATAATTTTTGGTAAAATTACAAAGCAATACCTATCCCTATTTGGCCACATGGAGCTAAGATTAAGAGTATGGTCACTAAGTTTAAAAGGTTCATAATTCTAGGTGGGTTATGCTTTTAAAAAAGTCATCTTTTTTTTAGAAAGGAGCCCATACTAACCCCTTAGAGAGGTAAAGGTGTGTGGTGCTTTTTAGAGTGCATGAAATCATCAGCTATTTGAAATGCCTGGAGGTTTTTAAATGTAAATATGATGGCCTTTATACTGAGATACCAATAAAATCAGTCGTCTTGAGACCTTTAGTAGAATCATTTTGTTAAATCTTAAGGTACAATAAATGTAAAAGGGGTTCGGCAAAAAAAAGGCTTTTTCCATGGCCATGACAGTCCACTCAACACACAATGAAACTGTAATTTTTGTACGAAAATTAAGTATTTTTGTAAGGATGAAGGGTATTTTTGCATTACTGAATACAATTATTCCAAAAAAGTTTAAGAATTGTTGGTGTGAAATGACATCACTGCAATAAATACACAAATACTTTTTAAGGCTTTTTACACGTCTCTACCGGGGTTGTAAATAAGTATGAAGGCGCTATTGATAGAAAAGCACAAAAAACAATAATCTTAAAGAATCAGAGAAAAAAAAGTTCCCTTATATTTCCTTTCTTCCTATTCTCTTGGTTAATGCAAATTTTTCTATTTTATTATTATTATTTTTTTTTACAGTTTTAGCAAAACATTAAGACATTTTTGTTTTCGCATTTGATACAGTATCAGAGCACAAATGCCAGAATCAGGGGACAGCAAATACAGGCAAGTGGACATCTACCCAAAGACAACATAAGCTTGTTAGGATGAGGCATGTTTAAAAAAAAAAAAAATAGCTACCAATGTTCTATATGCATAGAACTCCTATGTAATAGAATCTGTTTTATTATTTTGGTATGAGGTATATTAACACTATGGATACTGAGCAGAGCAGTAATGCAATATAGTACACTTTAGAAAAATCAGCATGGAAAAGGCCTTTGCAAGAGACAGGGGTGCTGTAGCGTACAGTTTAACAAAAGCGACACTTTTTTTCACTAAGTGGGAGTACGAGGGAAACAAACGCATGCTATTATTAGCTACTTCTACAAATATCTCTATGTACAGGCTCTTTACATGTTATAGCCAGGATATCAATTCCTGTGCAACTAAGAAAAGAAACAGTGTTTATGTGCTTAATGTGTCAAAAACCCACATTGGCTGGTCTCAGTACTTTATATTGCACACCAGCTCAGTTTGTGGACATTAAAGAAATGGAAAGGTGCAAAATAAGATGTTTATCTACAGGGTATTACAGGAGTATTTACACCCTTTAAATGTGTTCTCCCATTAAAAAGCAGAAGCTTATTTTTTGGGGATTTTTATGTGTCAGTCCAACATACAGCAGAAGTGAATGGGAAGGAATAGACTGTATAAACAACGTTCATGCTTTAAAAGAGATAAGAATAAGAAATGATTTACTCTCGATAAAATCCTGCCTTCAGAAGACTCATATTTACCTGCCTGTCCTGTGTTGGCCTTTTTAAATTTGTTGAAGAAGATTAGTGAACAAGCAGCACCATGAGGACAAAGGAACACAGCAAACAGGTCAGGGGGAAAGAATAAATCAGGGTTAGATGATAAAGGGATCTCTAAACCATCTAGCCAAGCAATGTTCAATCCATGAATCTTAATATAAGAACAGCATTGTTGAAATCTACCAAGACATGGCTGTTCCACCACATGTGGGTTGGGTGAAGAGAACATCGATTTAACAACTAACGAGAGGGTTTATTGTTACTCTTAAGTCGATGCAGAGAGCCAAAGTCCACAGGGGAGAATAAAGTGAAAGGACCTCCACTGGGTGTGCACTCCATAAATCTGCTTCTGATTGAGCCAAAGTAATGGTTGCAGTTTGTCACCTGGGATACAGGCTGATACATGTACATTGAGGGCATGGTAAGAAAAAGTATTTGAGTTACTAGGAAAACCACTGTGGCAGGCATACTTTAAAGTAACACTGCATGTCAAAGTTAGTTTTTCTTCAGTAGGTAATGGAAGCTGATCTGATATAGTAGGAGGATTGATATGGTTAGTAAATACAGGACAATCCTTAAAGCTACAGTGTGTAATTTTCAGCGACATCTAGCGGTCAGACTGCAGACCGCAGCAACATGAACATCTCCCCCCCACCGCTTCTCCCCCCCAACAGTATGGCGAGCGTTACGGGACAAAATGTCTTCCACGACGTCCACATCACCTACCTTCTCAAGTGATGAGGTTTGTTTACATAGATAATTTTACAGATAGTATTTCATTAGTCTGTGTAGGGTATAGATTTCATGTAGACTTAAGATAATAAATATACCCGTTATTTTTTCTACATCGTTGTGACGTTTTGGTGAGCTGCTTTGCATGGTGATATAAACAGACGAAGTAATTGTAGTCATTAATTTAACAGCGAGATTGTGTTCGCTGGAAGAATATATATTCCCCGTTTACAGAGTCCAAGTCATTTTGGTGGCACGGGGTTACAAGGCGAGGAAGAGGGAGAGGAAGAGGGCAGAGAGGCCGTGCAGCTAGGGCCAGGCGAGGGAGGGGTGCCAGCGGGGTGACTAGAGCAGAGGAGGAAAGGCTTGAAGATCTCCAAAGGAGCCGGAGAGAAGTAACCGAGGTATATATCCAGAAAATTATTTTACAGAAAATTACTGAATCATTACCTATGAAACGTCAGGGACGTTGCTGAATAAGTATACTGGAGAGTAACAGCATCATCACGCAGCATGTTATTGTTTTAGACAGGTCTGAGCATCCTGTACTCCAAAAACTGCAGTGATATTAGACAATTGTGTGTGTAGGATTAATTACCTGTCCAAGAGAAAACTGGCAACTTGAGCGTCACTTTGAAAACCTTTTTCCTCCATCAGTGACTTCCATAGTGTAAATGCCGTGCCAATGTTGATCCGTGTTTTTTGTCGTTTCTTGTCACGCTTGCGTTTATTCTCGTCGTGTTTCCGCTTCTTAGATGACGGGGGTTCGGTGTCCGCCGCTTTTCGTTGTGATACAGAGTAGGCATGATCCTCCATTCGTCTGATGTTTGGCCACACAGTGCCAAACAGTTTGCAAAGTCACTCACGCCTGCCGCCTTGTTCACCTTTCTTGTTACTGAGGCGCAGTATACCTGCTTCTTCCTCTTCTTTGGTTTCAGGCATAATACTGCCATCTACTGTTCAGTACCGTCTCAGTTCATCTCTCTCAACTTGCCGTAGTTATTTTCGAGCATCATGGGAGATCTCGCAATCGCTAGTTTGTTGCCTCTGCGCTTGCCGTAGCGCAAAGATGTCAGCCTCCATGGCTGCGAGACCCGCTCCTATGTAATTATAAATAACGAATTCTAAGGCAACGCAAATATTATGGTTAAAAGGCTGAGCTCAAAGGTGATGATAAATAACATAGTTATGTATAATATATTAAATTTCTGACTTTATATGCCTGTAATTATTACACACTGTAGCTTTAACGAAGACCGGCTAAAGACTGATATGATCCAAAGCTCAAGCCAAGGTTCAACTTCCCAGATGCTCTCTAGTCGATCTGACTAAGCTGGTGCAATTCTACAAAAGGAAATGGGTACATTTTCAGATATTTTTTATAAAACACTTAGAAGACTTCAATACCTCCCTTCCATTTAAAAATTAAGCCCCAATCTGAGCTGATCCATCAAATAAAATCCCAATATAATGTACAGTAAGGTATTCTAAGGATATAAAGGTCCAAGGGGTTCTAATGTTTTGTGAGGTCTTTTCTTTCTCAGTGTGTTTGAATCCGCTCTTACAGATTATAATGGCTGCCTACGGGGCATCATTTCTGCAATTTTCTCTAGCCGGCCTATTAACCAGTAATCAAAACAGTTTTTAATAGAGTCTTATGTATATATTTACACTCATTACTAGTTTTAAAGACAAGCAGGCTTCATGTGTGAGTCGAAAGCTTGACGGCTGATATATTTCAGCCTAAAGCTCAAGTTTAAGGAGACACAGTTTAATAATCTACCAAAATGTGAAAGTGCTGTACATGTTAGAAAAACACAAGGCAGCGCTCAGGAAAGGTAGCACACAGTCTGAATGAGATGATACTAATGCTGCAAGTTAAAAAGAAGCAGTCAGTGTCACCATGCTAGCAGCTAATGTACAATGTGCAGGAGTCAGTGGGAAATGGGAGTTCACAACGGGGGGTGGTTACTATGGGGGCCTTTAACCCTGCTCATCCATTGCCTCCGCAGCTGTGTGAAGCAAAGCAGAAGCTTCCCCATTGCAACGGGATGTGGGTTCAGCTGCCTGTGGTTCCGGGTTCAGCTCCTCAGATGAGGCTTCTCCCGTTGATTCTGCGGGTGGTGCCTGTTGGCTCTTTTCCTCTCCAGTGGGTTGCTCTGTGTTGGGACTGGGAGCAGCCTCTGGCACGGCAGCAGATGACGGCGCAGAGGGATCATTGGAAGCCTGGGGAGCTGAGGGGTCTGCAGGCACCTCAGCTGAAGGAGCAGTGGACCTAGCCTCGCTGTGCTCTGGGACTCTTAGTCTTTTCATGATGGTGGTGACTCGCACAGCTTTCTTTGGGAAAAGGAAATGTGAAAAATTATCCCTGAAAAGACGGCATGCATTCCCTCTAGTATCAATGATTACTCTAAATGTTTGGCACATAAAATGCTGAAACTTTTGCTATCTTACTGGAATTGCATGTGATTAAGCATCATAAAACAGTCAGTTACAAGTAGAAGGAGAATACATGGTTTGTAATTTCTTTACTTATAGAATCTGAAAGTATTGATGTTAATTTTCTTTAAGGGTTAGTGCTTTGTAGACTCACCCTTAGCTGTAATTAGCGCTCTAATGGTTTGCTTGTCTTAAAACAGGTGCAAATGTGTTTGTTTGTGTGGAGAAGGCATTCAAAGAAACTGCAAATTGATTTAAGTTTTCAATTCAGCAGACAGCCATCCATTTTTGTTTATCAATATGCAGATTATATTCTGAGGAACAAACAAGTCCATGGGTGGAGGAAATGCGAATCTAAATGTTTGCCAAGTGCAAAGTGATTTTCCAAATTCGACTGGAGCAGCAGTTCTTTCATCCTTTCTACTGAAAATCAATTGCATGCTGGCAGATTAAAATATCTGAAGTCACTTCAGTCCTTCCTCTCCAGAACCTATGCAGATATGTAGCACGAGACTGAGTCCTGAGCAGAAGCAGCACTGCATACGGGCTAAGCTGTGTCTCTACTGTGGTGAGGCTGGTCATTTTGTTTCTGCCTGTCCCTTACTGTTAAAAGCCAGGGTCCACCAGTAAAGGTTGCTGGCGGACCAGAAGATTTCTTTAATTTCTCCTCGTCTACTTTTGCCTGCTTCACTCCATATAAATAACAAGTCCCTTTCCCTATCAGCTCTACTCGACTTTGGCTGTGAAGCCACAAAGGAGGCAGTTGTATAAAGCTAGAGGACAGAAAGATTCTGTGAGCATGTGAACAAATTTGGTCATCAAACTCTTAGATTCTATGTGACATTTAGGTCTATATTTTTTTATCACATAGATATACTTTGATAAAAGTCATCCCATGAACGATGTTGCTGAAGCCAAGTCTCCTGTAGCTTCTTGTTTTTCTTTAAATACAATCCTATATCGGAATCCAGTTATCTTCTCATAAAATATGTGGAGCTTTCCTGTTCCTTCTGAGGCATGACCACAGAATGATACCAATAATTTCACCAAAAGGATGAGTAATGTGCAATGTTTGCTTTACAACTCACTGCCATGTCCTCTTTTAGATGTGGCTTTCTTTTTCATACGTTTACTTATTGGAACTCATTTCTGAAGGCAGGATCTATGTAGTACATAACTTTTACTGTAATGATTTCAATACAGAACCTATATTGTGAGTTTAAATCTTTGCAGCTGGAACCGCTTAGTGTCCCATCTTTAATAGTCTGATTTAAGACAGGAGTTATATCTTTTCTGTTTTGTTTTGGCAATCAAATAAATTTCTAATAACACAGGAGAATGTGGATGTAATGAAGAAGTATGAAAGCTTTTGCAAGGCCCTATATTTGCCAGTAAGAATCATTCTTAAAGGCACTACAGCTAGAGTTGAAGCTTCAAAGCATTGAAAGCATTTGGATGAAGAGAACAAAATGGCTCACCTTCCATTTAGCTCTGGCAAAGTTCTTTTCAATTTGTGCACAAACATTTTCTTTGATGTTCTTATCTGAAGCTGCACCACCAGAGATCCTGCAGAATGCAGAAAGAGATTAAAAATAAGAGGTTACCCTCACATCTGAGCAGTACTGTCAGTTTTTATGGCTAAAGGGAGCTGAAAAAAATCATTGCAGCTCATTATAACAGGAGGAAAACTATTCCATAAACACATGCATACTTAAGGGTTATTCTTAATTGGTTTCTTTTAGTGTTTTCCTCCCTGGTCTAGTACATATTGTAGCACAGCTAATTAAAAACATAAAGTTTGTTGAAAATAAAACTTAACAGATCAATCAAACCCTCAACAGCAACAGTATTCAGATTGGACAGGATAATTAATATTATTTTTTAAATTTTGAACGTTTGTTCTAATGAGATCTTTTTAACTATGCAGTCTGATTTATACTGAATCTGTGCAATATATCAAAGCTGCTCTGTCTACCATTCATGGTTTATAGCCTCCTGGGCCGTCAGCCTCTGGTCTTGATCCACCTCCATCAAACGAGCAACCAGGTTCTTAGCTGTCAGAGAAATGACACATGGAGGAAGGAAAATGCGTAAAGGGTTTACTTCCTGACAGGATGAAAACACAAATATAAGTGCTTTGAAAAGTCAACAGGAAGGAAGAGAGAAAGATTCCTTTTAAACGTGAAAAGCGTTTATATGAGAAGTTGCCACAGAAAGTACCTGAATCAGAGATTTCATCCCAGTAGGGAGAGTCAAACTCATAATCGCCTGCAAGGATTTTTCGAAACAGATTCTTGTCATGGTTTTCATAATCGTCATCATCGGTTTCATCATAGAAAGGAGGGTTTCCGGACAGACTGTAGGTAAAAAAGAAAGAAGTGGAGGGGGGTGGGAGGCAGCAAATAGTTTTGGTTCAAATAAATCTTTGCAAGATTCAGTAAATCAATCACAACTCGGGATGCTTCCAACCAACATGGATGCAGAGAATCAAACATCAGTTTTTACATTAGGCCTGACCAACTCATTCTAATTCTGACCAACTGTTTTTTTTTCTCACAATCAAAGGAGAAAACAAATATACTGTATATTGGTTAACATCTACTGGTTCAACAAAAAAAAAAAAAAAACAACAAAAGAAAATAACAAAACTATTTCTATTTTTGTATTAATGTGTACATTACACAAACATACAAGCCCAAAATTACATTTTGTTAACAGTTTTATCAGATGCTGGTGAAGATTCTCAGTCTTCCAGGTCATAGTCATTCCAAAATAGTTAAAAAACAATCCACTGGACTTTGTTTCCAAGTTGAAGACGTTTCACTTCCCATCCAGGAAGCTTTTTCAGTTCAAAATGTCAGAATCAGCATTGAGTTTTATCAGATTTAACTCTAAAGTTTTCATTCAGCCTAGAAGTACGTTTCTGTTGAAATATTACAAAGAATAAATGTCTCTTTTTTTTATAATCTTTTTTTAATCTATTACTTAAATCTATTTTAAAATGGCAGGTCAAACAATGTTTATGCCCTTTCTATTAAGAAAAAGAAATAAACTTTTATTTTCATTACAAAAATCAAAGTCTTCTATAATTGTTGACCAGTTTTTGAAAGTTTCTGCTGTGTTATGTATTCAAATTATAAGAGCTGATTCGGATGCCTGGCTGATGGTTTGTTACATTAGGTTTACATGTTAAAAATGTCCCTATCTGTTGAATGAAGGGATAACTTACAGTATGTACATGATGACACCTATTGCCCAGCAGTCAACAGGTCTCCCATATCGCTGCCTGCCGACCACCTCAGGAGCTGCATAGGTAAACACATACACCATTAATCACCAATAATCTGCTGCCAACTTATTTGTTATTTACCTATTTTTTTATCCTCACCCAGGTATTCAGGTGTTCCACAGGGGTCTTTGATTAGTCCGTTCTCCAGCTTGGCCAGGTGGAAGTCACTGATGACGATTTTGGAGTGCTTTAGACGGTTGTAGTACACCAAGTTCTCCAACTATAAATGAAGAGAATTAGAAAACCTCACAAAGAACTAGGTCTAATGCTTGACATTATTGTTTAGCTGAATTTTTAAGTAAATCAATGACAGAAGGAAGCTTGTTTAACCTTCATGGTTCAGGTTGAACATGCTAATGTTCATAAGCCTTGGGGCAGCCTTAACTATTCCTTTGTCTTGATAAATATAAATAAACTTTTATTTGAATTACAACAATCAAAGTCTTCCACCAAGATTTCTGCCATGATTTTGACAATTTATTCTAGTTGTTTATGTACTTTTTGGATCAAAAATACTAGAAGCTCTTAGTTGAGCTGATAAGTAGTGATTCTTATCTCTGGCTGATGGTTTGTTGTGCTTGGATCACATGTTAAAAATGTCCCTATCTTTTAAATGAAAGAAGAACCTACAGTATGTACATTATGAGACCTATTGTCAAGTAGTCAACAGGCCACATTGGAGAAATTTTTGGAATGTTAGATAAATGTTTGCCTTACTCCAACTCAATCTCCTGAGAACGTTTTTTTTTTTTTTTTTCCACAGGAATTTTTATGTGTTAAAACGATATCTCAAGAAAACTCTATAATCAGTGTAATTCTACTAATTTCTTACTAGATATGCTAACAGCTACAAGACAACTGATGAACATAATAAAGAAAGTTCAACATTGAAAAACAGGCTATTATTCTAACACTCCAAGTAAAAATGGTTAAATCTAGTTTGGTTGAACTACTCTTTAGAACTGATGCGGTTTTCTGAAATAAAAAATATCTCTTGATGTCAATACAGTCTGAGATTTCAAAAGATCTTGAAATGGATAGAAAGATACTATAAAGACTGCTAACAATAACCTAGCGTCCCCACATACTAAAAATTAGTTCTTCAATAAAGCTGGGTTACAGAAAATAATTAAAAGAAATTTAAGAAAAAATTCACTTATAAAAAAAAAAAAAAGTTATTTAGATTTACAATTTTTGCACTGGATTTTCATTTAGAGGTTTTGCAGCAGCAAATTTTGCCAGTTGCAAGTTGTCAGTTGCATGTGCTGGCTGGTAGAATTGGAACCATTGCGGTCTCAAAATCATTCACACGGCTTTGTGTTAGGCATCATACACATGTCACCACTGTGTGTTACCTTTAGGTTTCTGTGAACTATGTGCAGGGAGTGAAGGTAAGCCACCGCCTCCAGCACCTGCCTCACTACATTGCTGGTGTCCCGCTCCGAGTAATAGCCTTGATCCAGAATCCAGTCAAACACCTCTCTGCCTGTTGCACTGTGAAAAGGTGGGAGAACAACAGCTCAGCAACTCATTGCATGTTTGTCCACTTCTGGATAAGTATTAATTCAACTATTCTTTTCATTTTTGCACAGTTCGTCCTTCAGCAAATAGAGGAAGGGATAAGTAAAAAAAAAAAAAACATTTAGGAAAAATACAAAAGATAAATTCTGCTATGAGAAGGTATCTTTTGTCTTTCCAAAAATGGTGAGGAATCCATCTGGGAACTGATAATTGGAATTTCCCTTAGGATTACTCTGTTTGCTGAATATTCAGCATAATCAGAATCCCTCAAGCCCTATCAGCGGGGAGAAAAAAATCATTTCCACATTTGGAAGTTCCTCAGAAATTAATCTGATTCCCAAAGAAAAAAAAACTAGTTGAAAAGAATGGATCCTTGGGCGATCACATCTGAATACCAAATGAGGCCAAGCTGAGAGCTGCTCTCGCATCTTCTGGGCCTTGAGCAACAACGGCTCATTCCCCAGGAGCGTGTGATCAACAGAAGCAGCTCAGGGCCAAGCTGTGGCAGACACAAGTTTTTTGTTTTGTTTTTGTTTTTCCCAGGCACGTCAGACATCTAAACTCACAGTTCAAGGAAGAGGAAGTACTCTTTTTTGGTCTCGAAGGCATCAACCAGTTGGAGGATGTTGGGATGTCTCACCCTGAGGAAAGTGTGTCAAAGCAGACAAAGAAGAAAAGGAAGAAATGTATGTCATTCAATTACATTAAGAACCAAGGTGTTGAAACTGAATTTGAACACTTTATTTATCATATTGCAACAAAACATGCAGCATACTTCCGGTAATGGAGCTCACCAGGCATGTACCAGTGAAACCAAAAGAGGCTAACCAAAAATAAGAACTTATTATTATCCTATCTTAAGAGTCTATGGATTGTTGCCTTCATAACTGCAGAATATGATATGGAAAGACTAAAGCTGTGTTGGAAATGCCCGCCCTGTTCAAGATGCATCATTCAGTCGGAGCAGAGTTGCGAATTTAGGACATTTATGTGTCATTATGGCTGTAAGTCACCCCTGTTTCCTAACTGTGGTTAACACAGCAGGAGGTTTACAAAAGGCAGAGGATAGAGGGATCTATGGAGCCTTTCAAAAATCTTCTGTCCCCTTGTACCTTTTTTTACATTTTGTAATATTGCACCCACAAACCTCTGTGTTTCAAATGAAAATAGAAAATGTTCGTGGTGAGTAGAAAATGAAGGCTAATCATGTTTTGGGTGTACTATTCCTTTAAGCAGAAAGAAAGTCTCACCTTTATCTCTCTGTCAGCAATTCTTTTATATTCTCTTATTACTTACTAAAATGTATATTTAGAAAAACGCATCAGTTAAGGAAAAAACATTTTAAACAAAATCAAAAGCAGTCACTTACATTTTCAAGATAAGGATCTCATTTTTGGCTGCCTTGCGTACTTTTCTCCCATCTTTTTTAAGGAATTTTTTACATGTGTACATTTTCATAGTTGCTTTATCCTTGGCCCTGAAGATCTCACAGAACTCCTCCCTGAAAAGAAGACATTTTTTAAAGTTGAATAAATAAAAAACTATGAAAAAGTAACAATCACATAGCATATGAACAGTGAGGCAGATTAAACAATACTCACGATTTAACAATCTGGCCCAGGTCATATTTATCTGTCACATCCGAAGGATTGTGATATTCCTTCTTTTCCCCAATCGTTAAACAGCCAAATGGCATGGCCACACCCAATCTACAGTAAAACAAGCACAGAGACAGAAGAGAGGACGACATCAGAAGAAGACAGCGTTCCCTTTTTGACTGTCTCTTCAAGCTCAAACTGTGCTGTAATGCATCAGATGATGACTTTTATTGCTGAGAAAGATATTAGAAAGTCTAGGACCTGTAAGCCAAAGGCAGCAGTTTTAATGCAGAAATGTTTTTCATTTAACTTTTCCTAACAGAGCTTTTCATGATGCTGTAATAGCAAAACACAAGAAGATAACAGCTTCACCGTCTCAGCTCTGTGCAATCGTCTTATTCTAAAAGTCGAACAAATTTCCCTCAGTGGGCTGACAGTCACACAAGCAAGCAGTGAGGGAGCAGGAAGTGCAAGAAAATATTCTTATATGCTTACTGTAGCATCAATAATGTATTTATAAACCACTGGAAAAAAACCCCTGAAAAAGACGGATATAAATGGGAAAAGACCTACATAATATGTCCATCAGGGAGGCATTACATTATGGTCATTTACAGACATGAGAAAATAATTAATTAATCTTCTTTCATTTTTTCAGTCTATATTTCATTGTAAATATTTTTGGTTGAAAGCACTGTGTCAGTTAATAAAAATTGCATGTATGTGTTTTATAAAAGTTCTATCAAATCCTCTGCTAGAGCATTTAATTCAGTTTAATGTTTGCATTTTAACTAGTCCATGCAACATTTTAATTCTTCTCTTTTTCTACCACCCTAGTGTAGATGTGTTGCACTGCTCAGGTTTAACACCCTGTTGGTGACTCAGATTGCCTAAGAACTAGCCTCAGATTTGACGACCCTCTCAGTCATAAGAATCCTATAACTGCAAGATAAGCCCAAATCATTACATCCTTTTTATCACTGACTTATTTTAACAGAATCTCTAAATACACAACTGACTACCTATAACTGGCTAACCCAACAGTTAAAGTCAGTTAGTCTCATTTAACCCCACCCTTCCTTACCTTCAAACCCTTCTTACTTCATCTCTATTCCTCCCTTTCAACTCATCCTAATCACTCAGCATCTCATCTTTCAACATAGAGGTTGTAGCATCATGCTAAGAGCTGATCTTCTTCTGGACATACAATTAAGCTGATGTGAAATATCGACCAAGCTAAATACAGGAAAACCCTTGGCAATCTAGAAATAGGGCATGACTTGAAAATTAATGCTCAGCAGCACTCTAGCTCCAATCTGTCTAATCCTACAAAGGGACTCCAAAAAAAAAAAAAAAAAAAAAGCAAAGGTTGTAGTTCCATCATAGGAAAAGGAGTATAAACGGGTTTTATTCTTTTTCCGATGGCATGTTGACATTCCCTGTTTTCAGTACATGATTCTCATTGAAAATTTGAATGGGTAAAAATCTTCCAAAGCATTTTCAGTGTTTGTAGCAGGGTGCTGGCCATGACACTTAATGAAAGCACCATAATGGGTCCACTTAAATCGACCACCATCAGAAACACTGGAGCATTATGTTCTGACTGCTGTCTGCCCCTCAGGAGTGCCAGCCAGTGGTTCTTAATGCTTCACGACTCAGTATGTTAACCAGTCTATCTGCAGGAACAGCTCAGTCCTCTAAGCCACATCCATATCAAGTCTCTATAGGAATGGTAAGGATGACGGCTGGTGGGAAATGTTAGGGACTCCAGGCAAAAACAGCACTCACAAAAAACAGGTTTTCTTTGCTGTCTGCTGACATCAGTTGAAAACTCTTGCATTGCTTAGCAGTGTTTAGGATTAGAGCAAATGTAATGCAAAATATGCACTGTGTCAAGATTTTTTAAAGCAGCAGTAAGAGGGATTAATTTACCTGCAGCTAAGAGTATAATATAAATGCACCTTATAGGAATAAGTTGTACCTCTAGGAATGGTAAGCCTCTATGCAAAGAAGCAAATTGCAGAACTAATCTGATGAAAGGGAAATCCTCTAGAATTCATAATGTTTCCCTGTTATCAGAGAGCAGGTGACTGTTTACAAATTTAGGTTACAAAAACTGTATGTGCTAATTTGGTAACACCTAAGTGCTATACTGATACATTTGGATAAATTATTATCGAGGGAAGTACAATTATCATTATCGCTTTGTTATGTTACTGTATTGTGGAGGATCCATACTAAATTAACATCTCTGTTGGATAATGTCTCCTACGCCATGCATCAAGTTGCTGCTGAACTGGAAAGCTCCTTCAGTGACAGACTGCTGCCCCCTAAATGTACCTTGAAGCGTTATCACAGATCCTTCCTCCCAGCAGCTGTAAGACTTTAAAACCACCACTCTTCCCAACAACCTCAATAAGTTGTTACCTTCATGGTGAATTTTGCACAGTTTCTATCTTATTCAGTTCAATAACATGCTTCTGCCATTGTGCACATCTCTGATGTTGTTGCTATTTGTAAATGTCCATTTTGTAAAAACGTCCACAGTTGTATATCGGTTATTTATTCTCCAGGTGTACAGTATTTATGTTGTTAAAACACTTTACAGTACAGTATTGTATTTGTTTATTTTTTAGCTCTTCAGTATTATGTTATTTTTATACACTCTTCTAAGGTCCACATTTGTGTGACCATCCCAATAAAGGGATTTTCTATTCTATTCTATACTTTTAAGTTTGATTTGTAAACCTAACGAAAAAGTGCCGTGAATCAGCTTCTGCTATATGATGCTGCTCTCTGATACAGACATTAGACTTCTGTATAACAGTTTGCCTATGCTGTTGTGTCTGTCCCTATCATATAAACTTAATGAATTGATAAACATTGACAGATGTAGTTGAACAATTCAGGCGGCTGACTTTGCTAAAATCCTTCTAACTGCATGGCTGAAAGTTTTTTTTTTTAAACAGTTTGTCCTAGTTTCTTTGGTTTGACTCTTGCTCCCAATGTCTTCATTCTGAATATAATCAGCAGTATTTTATTTCTGAGATGCATATGCTGTGATATTTTATGTAATTTGCAAAACAAAGTGTCAATCTGGCAAAACATAAGCATTTTGAGCAACACTACTTTCAACTAATGTCATTGGATGTACCCTTGAAGCTTTTTGCTTACATTTACAGTAGACATGATTTAGTGATTCTTTTTACTTCAACAATTTAATCATGAATAAATATTAGGGTCCTTATAATATTAGAAAAGCCAAAACAATAAATTGCAAAACTGGACTTCATAGTGTTTAAGTCCTTTAAATGTTCTCTATAAAAGGTGCTTGTTCAAGTAAGCTCGTAATTTATTTTAACAGATCTCAAAGCAGGCTTCAAGAGTACAGGTGCTGGTCATAAAATTAGAATATGAAAAAGTAGATTGATTTCAGTAATTCCATTTAAAAAGTGAAACTTGTATATTATATTCATACATTACATACAAACTCATATATTTCAGATGTTTATTTTGTTTAATTTTGATGATTACAAATGACAACAAATGAAAATCTCAAATTCATCATATCAGAAAATTAGAATATTGTGAAAAGGTTCAAAATTGATGGCCCCTGGTGCCACACTCTAATCAGCTAATTAACTCAAACCACCTGCAAAAGCCTTTAAATGGTCTTTCAGTCTAGTTCTATAGGCTACACAATCATGGGGAAGACTGCTGACTTGACAGTTGTCCAAAAGACGACCATCGACACCTTGCACAAGGAGGGCAAGACACAAAAGGTCATCGCTAAAGAGTCTGGCTGTTCACAGAGCTCAGTGTCCAAGCACATTAATAGAGAGGCGAAGGGAAGGAAAAGATGTGGTCGAAAAAAGTGTACAAGCAAGAGAGATAACCGCACCCTGGAGAGGATTGTGAAACAAAACCCATTCAAAAATGTGGGGGAGATTCACAAAGAGTGGACTGCAGCTGGAGTGAGTGCTTCAAGAACCACCACACACAGACGTATGAAAGACATGGGTTTCTGCTGTCGCATTCCTTGTGTCAAGCCACTCTTGAACCACAGACAGCGTCAGAAGCGTCTAAAGAGAAACAGGACTGGACTGCTGGTGAGTGGTCCAAAGTCATGTTCTCTGATGAAAGTAAATTTTGCATTTCCTTTGGAAATCAAGGTCCCAGAGTCTGGAGGAAAAGAAGAGAGGCACTTCATCCACGTTGCTTGAAGTCCAGTGTAAAGTTTCCACAGTCAGTGATGGTTTGGGGTGCCATGTCATCTGCTGGTGTTGGTCCATTGTGTTTTCTGAGATCCAGGGAGCACTTCATGCTTCCTGCAGCTGACCAACTTTTTGGAGATGCAGATTTCATTTTCCAACAGGACTTGGCACCTGCACACAGTGCCAAAGCTACCAGTACCTGGTTGAAGGACCATGGTATCCCTGTTCTTAATTGGCCAGCAAACTCTCCTGACCTTAACCCCATAGAAAATCTATGGGGTATTGTGAAGAAGAAGATGCAATACACCAGACCCAACAATTCAGAAGAGCTAAAAGCCCCTATTAGAGCAACCTGGGCTATCATAACACCTGAGCAGTGCCACAGACTGATCGACTCCATGCCACGCCGCATTGCTGCAGTAATACAGGCCAAAGGAGGCCCAACTAAATACTGAGTGCTGTACATGCTCATACTTTTCATGTTCATACTTTTCAGTTGGCCAACATTTCTATAAATCCTTTGTTTTTATTGGTCTTCAGTAATATTCTAATTTTCTGATATGATGAATTTGAGATTTTCATTTGTTGTCATTTGTAATCATCAAAATTAAACAAAATAAACATCTGAAATATATGAGTTTGTATGTAATGTATGAATATAATATACAAGTTTCACTTTTTAAATGGAATTACTGAAATCAATCTACTTTTTCATGATATTCTAATTTTATGACCAGCACCTGTATAACCTCAGCCCCTCTACTTATTGAACCGCCTACCTGGGATTAGATGTGACCTTAGCTCTGCTTGGAAAGCTTCAGCTGCTATTACAAAACAAATATCTTGGACATTAATTTGCTTTAATACCTTCTGATTTCCTGATATTTCCCATGATAG